ATTCTTTGGGGATGCTTTTCTGCAAAGGCGACAGGACAACTGCACCGTATTGAGGGGAGGATGGATGGGGCCATGTATCGCGAGATCTTGGCCAACAACCTCCTTCCCTCAGTAAGAGCATTGAAGATGGGTCGTGGCAGGGTCTTCCAGCATGACAACGACCCGACACACACAGCCAGGGCAACTAAGGAGTGGCTCCGTAAGAAGCATCTCAAGGTCCTGGAGTGGCCTAGCCAGTCTCCAGACCTGAACCCAATAGAAAATCTTTGGAGGGAGCTGAAAGTCCGTATTGCCCAGCGACAGCCCCGAAACCTGAAGGATCTGGAGAAGGTCTGTATGGAGGAGTGGGCCAAAATCCCTGCTGCAGTGTGTGCAAACCTGGTCAAGACCTACAGGAAACATATGATCTCTGTAATTGCAAACAAAGGTTTCTGTACCAAATATTAAGTTCTGCTTTTCTGATGTATCAAATACTTATGTCATGCAATAAAATGCAAATGAATTACTTAAAAATCATACAATGTTATTTTCTGGATTTTTGTTTTAGATTCCGTCTCTCACAGTTGAAGTGTACCTATGATAAAAATTACAGACCTCTACATGCTTTGTAAGTAGGAAAACCTGCAAAATCGGCAGTGTATCAAATACTTGTTCTCCCCACTGTATATATATTTTTTTACATTACAATACATTCACAACAGATTTCACAACACCTTCAGTGTGTGCCCTCAGGCCCCTACTCTACTACCACATATCTACAACACAAAATCCATGTATACGTGTGTGTATAGTGCGTATGTTATTGCGTGTTTGTATGTTTGTGTCGCTCCACAGTCCCCGCTGTTCCATACGGAACTGTAATGTGTGCTATTCGGAGACCATTACAGTAGTCAAGCCTGCTTGTAATAAAAGCATGGATGAGTCTCTCTGTATCAGCCTGAGAGAGAAACGGCCGCACCTTGGCAATGTTCCTCAGGTAGTCAAAAGCTATTTTGGTCACATTCCTAATGTGTGATTCGTAATTGAGTTCAGAATCTAAAATGACACCTAGGATTTTTACCTGGTGTTTTATCTTTATTATTAAACCTGTGAATTAAAATGTGCGGCCAGATTCTCTCTCTGTGCTTTGGCTCCAACAATAAGTACCTCGGTCTTGTCTTGAGTTAGCTGGTTGGAAGGTGTGAGCCATCCAAGTATTTACATCACTAATATAGTCTAATATATATATCCGTGGAGCTAAAATCCTCTGGTGACACAGAAATGTAAAGTTGTGTATCGTCTGCATAGCAGTGAAAATCAATAGCGTTTCTGATAACGCTGCAATGGGGTAACATATATAAACTGAACAGTACCGGAACAAAAATCTAATCTTGTGGAACACCACATGTGATATCTATTTTTTCTGAGTTATGTTCACCAAGGTGACAAAAAACTCTCAACCGGTTAAATAGGTCGTAAACCAATTTAGAAGTGGACATTGTGTCACGATCGTCGACAGATGAAGCGGACCAAGGCGCAGCGTGATAAGCGTACATTCTTTATTGACCGTACTGCACACGAAACAAAACAATAAACCAAACGATACGTGAAGTCCTAGGTTATACACAAAACCCTACGGAACAAGATCCCACAAAATACTAGTGCCAAACAGGCTGCCTAAGTATGGTCCCCAATCAGAGACAATGAGCTACAGCTGTCTCTGATTGGGAACCACCCTGGCCAACATAGATATAAACGATCTAGAACAAAAGCATAGAAAATGTAACAGAAACTCCACACCCTGGCTCAACATTTAAGAGTCCCCCGAGCCAGGGCGTGACACATTGATACACCATGATCCATTGGCGGCTAAAGACATTAGCACATGGAACTCAGAGATAGCCTATAGGCCAATTCAGCAGTAGGCCTATAACTTCCATTGTCAACTAAGTAAAATACATAGACCTAAGGCCAACAAATAAAAACAGTAGAAAATATCCTGATGAAAATGCAGGTTCTTTCAATCGCATTAATCTCTACTCCGCTTGTCTGCCTCTCTTTCTATTGGTCTTGACTTGAGCTATCACTAGTGAAGTGCAACATTGTATCAACTCAGGAGGTTGGTGTGTTCAGCCACAGGTGCTCCCTCAACGTTATCAGCACAGAGAAACCACACATGCTCACTGCTCACATGGAGCACTCCAAACAAAAGACAATAAAAAATGGACAAAACTCCTAAATGATGGTTATGAAATAAACCAAAACTTGTTTCTCACAAGTGTAGCAGGTTGTAAACTCTGCAAACAACGTTTCCACTTCGAGAATGAGAACGGTAAATTATTGTAATGCATGCATTAACAGTAATTAATGTAACCAAATGACAGGGATTAACTAGGCCTACTGGTTACATATGTAATGGGGAATTGATCAAAATAAATAATCAAAGGGCAAACAATTCACACAATAAAACAATGAATGTTCAAGAATTGTCTGGAGACAGAGGAGCACATTCTGGAGAGCTGAGTGCATTCATTCTGGAGAAAGACGCCCATATCTTGGCCACACACCCTCCCCTTCTTCTTGTCTAAACACTTTAAATTATACTCAAGACACATTATCTTCACACATTTTAGATGCTTTTCACTGACAGCCGAAACTCAATAATCAGCTAGGCCTATTGCCACGCTCGCTGCCCAACTTGCTGTCTTCCCAAATAGGCATAGGCCTGTGCACTTGTGATTTAAAACAACCCACAGCATAAAAAAAAAAAGCTGCGGTTAAGTCAAGCTCTCTGGTAAAGTATTTTGAATTATTTTATTTAGAAAGGAGTAACTATACAATTTTGGCAAAACATCAATTTACTTTAGGGGAAGCCAGCATCCGAACAGTGCACCCGCCAACTTTCTTTTCTAATTCGCAAGTGGCTGAAACCAGAGATCTGTATATAATGATGAGATGCCTATGTCGTTTTCCCAAAGGCGAGAATGCAGGTGACAAGCTTAGGTCTGCATATTATGCCCATAGAAACGCATTGGGCTTATTCAGGACAGATTTGGGCGAGAGTGAGCCCTCTTGCTTCGCCTTTTCCTGAAACTAGTGAGCGAAACAGCAGCTGTCTGTTTTACTAGATGAAGCCCATGTATCTGATGCTGTCTGGACAGAAACAGTTTGACATGCCATACTCCTTTTGTCCAGACAGCATCAGATACATGGTCTACACTTACAGAGACAGAGGGGCGCTGTTTCACTTGCTCGGATGCTTTAACTGAGTTTGATGCGTCTTTCTGTCTGTGTGCGTCTTGGTCAAATAAATGATCAATATTTCAATATTTTATTTGGATAAACTGGATCATATGGAGTTGGTTCCCCCTTTGCTGCTATAACAGCCTCCACTCTTCTGGGAAGGCTTTCCACTAGATGTGGTCCTCTGTAGCTCAGCTGTGGTCCTCTGTAGCTCAGCTGGTAGAGCACAGCGCTTGTAACGCCAAGGTAGTGGGTTCGATCCCCAGGACCACCCATACACAAAACATTTATGCACGCATGACTGTAAGTCGCTTTGGATAAAAGCGTCTGCTAAATGGCATATTATATTATTATAGATGTTGGAACATTGCTGTGGGGGACTTGATTCCATTCAGCCACAAGAGCATTAGTGAGGTCAGGCACTGATGTTGGGCCATTAGGCCTGGCTCGCAGTCGGCGTTCCAATTCATCCCAAAGGTGTTCGATGGGGTTGAGGTCAGGGCTCTGTGCAGGCCAGTCAAGTTCTTTCACACCAATCTCGACGGGGGCATTGTCATGCTGAAACAAGAAAGGGCATTCCCCAAACTGTCGCCACAAAGTTGGAAGCACAGAATCGTCTAGAATGTCATTGTATGCTGTAGCGTTAAGATTTCCCTTCACTGGAACTAAGGCACCTAGTCCGAACCCATTTCATGAAACTCCAGACGAACAGTTATTGTGCTGACGTTGCTTTCAGAGGCAGTTTGGAACTCGGTAAAGAGTGTTGCAACCGAGGAAAGACGATTTTTACGTGCTATGTGCTTCAGCACTCGCCTGTCCAGTTCTGTGAGCTTGTGTGGCCTACCACTTTGTGGCTGAGCCGTTGTTGCTCCTAGACGTTTCCACTTCACAATAACAACACTTACAGTTGACCGGGGCAGCTCTAGCAGGGCAGAAATTTGACGAACTGACTTGTGGAAAGGTGTCATCCTATGATGGTGCCACGTTGAATGTCATTGAGCTCTTCAGTAAGGCCATTCCAACGGCCAATGTTTGTCTATGGAGATTGCATGACTGTGTGCTCGATTTTATACACCTGTCAGCAACAGGTGTGGCTGAAATAGACTAATCCACTAATTTGAAGGGGTGTCCGAATACTTTTGTATTCATCGTGTACTTTGTTCAGTTAGTTAAAGACGTCATTGAAACACTACAACTGGACTTTGGTTTCTCTGCCTTGCTATCCGCACACTCTCCCAACCAAGTACATGTGGTGTTACACACATCCTGAATCTTGTGATGGCAGACAATAGGAGTAGTTATAGGAGTAGTTATAGCAATAGGAGTAGTTATAGCAATAGGAGTAGTTATAGCAATAGGAGTAGTTATAGCAATAGGAGTAGTTATAGCAATAGTAGTTATAGCAATAGGAGTAGTTATAGCAATAGGAGTAGTTATAGCAATAGGAGTAGTTATAGCAATAGGAGTAGTTATAGCAATAGGAGTAGTTATAGCAATAGGAGTAGTTATAGCAATAGTAGTTATAGCAATAGGAGTAGTTATAGCAATAGGAGTAGTTATAGCAATAGGAGTAGTTATAGCAATAGGAGTAGTTATAGCAAGTGTGTTGCTGTTCTCTACTAAATAACCTGGCAGTGTTAATTCCAGAGTCCTACACAATAATTAATGTGTGGAGGGAAAAAGCCTGGACACTCGCCACAGACGGCTCTCTCCTATAGGAGAAAAACACTGGTGTGCTGTGAAGAGGGCCACAGACACTGACAAGCTGCAAGAACAGGATGAAGACACCGAACAGGAAGTGTAAGCTGAGATGCCTGGGGAAGCCCATGCCTGGGGAGTTGGCTCAGGATGAAACTGATAGAGATGCAGAGAGGGTCTACAAGACTAAGGTGCACTTTGTCATCATGGATACAGTCACTGATAGCATCTATCAGCGCTTTCTGACACAAGGCACTTGTACACAGACTTTGCTTATCTGGACCCCAGCAGGTTCTCAGAGATAAAATATAATGGATTGCCCCAGACATCACTTGCTAAACTAAGCAAACTCTTGCTGAGTGTGACAGACAGCAGAGGAGAATCACAGACAGACAGAGTGACAGACAGCAGAGGATAATCACAGACAGACAGACAGACAGACAGACAGACAGACAGACAGACAGACAGACAGACAGACAGACAGACAGACAGACAGACAGACAGACAGACAGACAGACAGACAGACAGACAGACAGACAGACAGACAGACAGACAGACAGACAGACAGACAGACAGAGATGCATAGACAGACAGCACGACGGAGAAAACAGACTCGGAGGCCCAGTTATAGTGGTGATTTGTATCGCCAGACTCCAGTGTGTTTTAACATGTATTTGTTTTAAATATGAGCCGGTTAAAAAGAGCTGCTTAAAAATGGAAGAAGACCATGTTCCTTCAGTCACTGGTATACGCAGCAGGTTAGGAGAGTTAGGTTAAGGTTAGGAAATGGAGTTAGGGTTAGTGAAAATGCTCTCCTTACCTGCTACAAAAACTTCCAGTCTTAGCTGTATCAAGTGTCAAAGATGGCAGCATTCTCTAATAACTACATGCCTAATTCTGTTTCATACTTCTCAAAGTTGATAACTAGTTTATTAGTTATTTTTTCAGTGATTCAATTCAGTAAGATAGCATAATTTACTAATTGAAAGGATTATATTATATATATTATATTATATATAACATTAATTCTACAGGTCAGTTCATCTCGATACTTCAAAACTCCTAAGAACTTCATAAATCCAGTGTGTGGGTCTTCCAGTGAGTTGGAGAGGATTGAGGAACCATGGCACAGTTTGAAAGCTTGATATGGACTGTAAGTGAAACATTTCTGATTTGCACATTTTGTGGCTTGGCATGTTTTAAAACCAATTATCTATTTAAATATTTCCTCTATGAAATATAAATCAGTTATTATTAGCCTACTAGTTCTGTCCATTTTACTGAAACCTTCGTAGAAAAAATGTGGGGGAGAGAAGTACATTTTCAATGCTGACCTAGGTTATCTTTGGTGTCACACCTTTAAAGATGAAATAAACACACCAGTGGGTGCCACCACTCTCACAAAAGCCTATTTAAAATGGTCCCACATAATTACAATAATTATATTTGAAATGGGAATATTTAGGTTAGAATTCTGTTAACTACTTCTGTAGGTTTTATGAATAAACACCATCAGCTTAGATTTTTGCGATTTTATTTCTAAAATGTTCTCTACTTCCAGGTACCTATTATATTGGTGCTTGGAATCATTGGATCCTGTATCTCATGTGGTAGAGCCGAGTACAGAATAGGGGATGAATGTTGTCCCATGTGTTGGCCAGGTAAGGACCGTCTCTTTACATCATATGAATCACCAGACATTAATACATCATCAACACCAACATATAACTTCTATACTTCTAAACATTGAACCCAGTTTCACATATGATCGCCCCATCTATAAATTAGGCGATAGAGATTGCATAATGTGTTGGCCTGGTAAGGACCTTGTGTATTTTTATGAGGGGTTAATTATAATAATAACTATACAAAAAATGTAAAATGTAACAATAATAATAATTATGATAATAATAATAACAAAACGTAATTATTTTCTGGTTTTCTTTTCAACAGGATATCGTGTAAATAGTCATTGTACTAAATCTACAATCACCTCCTGTGTGCCCTGTATTGACTCCACATTCCTTGATGAGCCCAGTGGGAAAACAACATGCAACAACTGTACCACATGTGGTCCAGGTGAGAATTCTGTGTTCTGTGCATAAACACTGAGATACTTTACTATATCAGCTGTTGTTTTAATGAAATACAACAGGCTTTACATTTAGCTTCAGATACCAAGTGACATGTTTTCTCCATAGGTTTGGGTTTGAAGGTAAAGCAGCCATGTAGACCTTCATCAGACACTGTCTGTGGGACACTGGAGGGGTTCTACTGTCTAGACCCAACTAAGGATGGTTGTAGAGCAGCCCAGAGACACAGCAGCTGTAAACCTGGTCAATACATCAGCCACACAGGTTGGTCTTCATGCAAATCTTCCATTGACATCAGTGCATGATTTATGCAGTCGTGAGTTAAGCACATCTTTAGGACCCTGAGTTTCACCCTGTGTTGATGCAGGAACAACATCTGCAGATACTGTGTGTGCTGACTGCACTGGTGATACTTATTCAGATGGATCATTTACATCCTGCCAGCCACACACACAGTAAGTAAATGGTTATTTCCCTCAAAATATAAACTAAATACTACAATAATATGCTCACATAGGAATGTGAAACTGATAGTTGGGTGACCAAATTGTTGATTACCAGTGGTCTGTTTCTCTTTTTATAGATGTGATACCTTGAAGCTTCAGCAAATTAAACCTGGAACTCAATGGTCTGACTCTGAATGTGGACCACAGACCTCCATACCCATAGCTGCAATAATATATCCTGTTGTGGTGGTGGTGGTGGTGGTGGTGCTACTAGTTGTCATAGCAACTAGAAGAACAAAAAAAACATATCCTGTATATGGTGAGATTATTTTGGGGAATTGTACAGTTTCATTTATTGTTTTAATTGCCCAGATGAACAAGTGAGAAATATCCAGCACAAAATCAAATCAAATGTTATTTGTCACATGCGCCGAATACACCGAGTGTAGACTTGCTTGCTTACGAGCCCTTCCAAACGATGCAGTTTGGTAACACACAATAATAAAATACAGAAGAATGGAGCTATATACAGGGAGTATCTGTAAAGTTCCCGTGTGGCTCAGTTGTTAGAGCATGGCGCTTGCAACGTCAGGATTGTGGGTTCGATTCACACAGGGGAAAGTATGAAAAATGTATGCACTCTGGAAAAGAGCATCTGCTAAATGACTGAAATAAATAAATGACTGAAATAAATATTAGAACACACAAGATGAATGAAATACACAAGAATGTTTTGAAAATCATGACAATGCCATACAGTGTATGTTATCGATTTCTAAATTAGTTTTTGTCTAAATGTTCATTCTTGCACCTTTCCAGAGAGGACTTTTCCAGAGACACAAAGCCCTACAGAGGTATGTCAATGAATAACCCCCCAATACCTACTTTATGCAGCAGAATTTTCTATCATACTCAATGTGTTAAGGAGATGGCTGATGTTTTTCAGGGGCAGGGACTGGGAGACTAGTCCGGATCAAGGGAGAGATGAACGGATCAAAGTATAGAGAGATCCTTGATGAAAACCTGCTCCAGAGCGCTCAGGACCTCCGACTGGGGCAAAGCACACAGCCAAGACAACACAGGATTGGCTTTGGGACAAGTCTCTGAATGTCCTTGAGTGGCCCAGCCAGAGCCCGGACTTGAACCCGATCGAACATCTCTGGAGAGACCTAAAAATAGCTGTGCAGTGACGCTCCCCATCCAATCTGACAGCGCTTGAGAGGATCTGCAGAGAAGAATGGGAGAAAATCCCCAAATATTTACATTTACATTTACATTTTAGTCATTTAGCAGACGCTCTTATCCAGAGCGACTTACAGGAGCAATTAGGGTTAAGTGCCTTGCTCAAGGGCACATTAACGTCATTTAGCAGACGCTCTTAGCCAGAGCGACTCACAAATTGGTGCGTTCACCCTATAGCCAGTGGGATAACCACTTTACAATTGGGGGGGGGGGGGGGGGGGGGGGTTAGAAGGATTACTTTATCCTATTCCAGGTATTCCTTGAAGAGGTGGGGTTTCAAATGTCTCCGGAAGGTGGTGAGTGACTCCGCTGTCCTGGCGTCGTGAGGGAGCTTGTTCCACCATTGGGGTGCCAGAGCAGCGAACAGTTTTGCCTGGGCTGAGCGGGAACTATGCTTCCGCAGAGGAAGGGGAGCCAGCAGGCCAGAGGTGGATGAACGCAATGCCCTCGTTTGGGTGTAGGGACTGATCAGAGCCTGAAGGTACAGAGGTGCCGTTCCCCTCACTGCTCCATAGGCAAGCACCATGGTCTTGTAGCGGATGCGAGCTTCAACTGGAAGCCAGTGGAGTGTGCGGAGGAGGGGGGTGACGTGAGAGAACTTGGGAAGGTTGAACACCAGACGGGCTGCGGCATTCTGGATGAGTTGTAGGGGTTTAATGGCACAGGCAGGGAGGCCAGCCAACAGCGAGTTGCAGTAGTCCAGACGGGAGATGACAAGTGCCTGGATTAGGACCTGTGCCGCTTCCTGTGTAAGGCAGGGTCGTACTCTCCGAATGTTGTAGAGCATGAACCTGCAGGATCGGGTCACCGCCTTGATGTTGGCGGAGAACGACAGGGTGTTGTCCAGGGTCACGCCTAGGCTCTTCGCACTCTGGGAGGAGGACACAGCGGAGTTGTCAACCGTGATGGCGAGATCATGGAACGGGCAGTCCTTCCCCGGGAGGAAGAGCAGCTCCGTCTTGCCAGGGTTCAGCTTGAGGTGGTGATCCGTCATCCATACTGATATGTCTGCCAGACATGCAGAGATGCGATTCGCCACCTGGTTATCAGAAGGGGGAAAGGAGAAGATTAGTTGTGTATCGTCAGCGTAGCAATGATATGAAAGGCCATGTGAGGATATGACAGAGCCAAGTGACTTGGTGTATAGGGAGAAAAGGAGAGGGCCTAGAACTGAGCCCTGGGGGACACCAGTGGTGAGAGCACGTGGTGCGGAGACAGCTTCTCGCCACGCCACTTGGTAGGAGCGACCGGTCAGGTAGGACGCAATCCAGGAGTGAGCCGCGCCGGAAATGCCCAGCTCGGAGAGGGTGGAGAGGAGGATCTGATGGTTCACAGTATCAAAGGTAGCAGACAGGTCTAGAAGGACAAGAGCAGAGGAGAGAGAGTTAGCTTTAGCAGTGCGGAGAGTCTCCGTGACACAGAGAAGAGCAGTCTCAGTTGAATGACCAGTCCTGAAACCTGATTGGTTTGGATCAAGAAGGTCATTCTGAGAGAGATAGCAAGAGAGTTGGCTAAAGACGGCACGCTCAATAGTTTTGGAAAGAAAAGAAAGAAGGGATACTGGTCTGTAGTTGTTGACATCAGTGGGGTCGAGTGTTGGTTTTTTGAGAAGGGGAGCAACTCTCGCTCTCTTGAAGACGGAAGGGACATGGCCAGCGGTCAAGGATGAGTTGATCAGCGAGGTGAGGTAGGGGAGAAGGTCACCGGAGATGGTCTGGAGAAGGGAGGAGGGGATGGGGTCAAGCGGGCAGGTTGTTGGGCGGCCTGCAGTCACAAGTCGCAGGATTTTATCTGGAGAGAGAGGGGAGAAAGAAGTCAAAGCATAGGGTAGGGCAGTGTGAGCAGGACCAGCAGTGTCATTAGACTTAACAAACGAGGATCGGATGTCGTCAACCTTCTTTTCAAAGTGGATTCAGGAGGGAGGAAAATGTGGCAAAGAGCTTCCTAGGGTTAGAGGCAGATGCTTGGAATTTAGAGTGGTAGAAGGTGGCTTTAGCAGCAGAAACAGATGAAGAAAATGTAGAGAGGAGGGAGTGAAAAGATGCCAGGTCGGCAGGGAGTTTAGTTTTCTTCCATTTCCGCTCCGCTGCCCGGAGCTCTGTTCTGTGAGCTCGCAATGAGTCATCAAGCCACGGAGCTGGAGGGGAGGACCGAGCCCGGCCGGGAGGATAGGGGACACAGAGAGTCAAAGGATGCAGAAAGGGAGGAGAGGAGGGTTGAGGAGGCAGAATCAGGAGATTGGAGGGAGAAGGATTGAGCAGAGGGAAGAGATGATAGGATGGAAGAGGAGAGAGTAGTGGGAGAGAGAGAGCGAAGGTTGCGGCGGCGCATTACCATCTGTGTAGGGGCAGAGTGAGTAGTGTGGGAGGAGAGCGAGAGAGAAAAGGAAACAAAGTAGTGGTCGGAGACATGGAGGGGAGTTGCAGTGAGATTAGTAGAGGAGCAGCATCTAGTGAAGATGAGGTCAAGCGTATTGCCTGCCTTGTGAGTAGGGGGGGACGGTGAGAGGGTGAGGTCAAAAGAGGAGAGGAGCGGAAAGAAGGAGGCAGAGAGAAATGAGTCAAATGTGGACATAGGGAGGTTGAAATCCCCCAAAACTGTGAGGGGTGAGCCATCCTCAGGGAAGGAACTTATCAAGGCGTCAAGCTCATTGATGAACTCTCCAAGGGAACCTGGAGGGCGATAGATGACAAGGATATTAAGCTTAAATGGGCTAGTGACTGTGACAGCAGTGACATACAGGTGACATACAGGTGTGCCAAGCTTGTAGTGTCATACCCAAGAAGACTTGAGGCTGTAATTGCTGCCAAAGGTGCTTCAACAAAGTACTGAGTAAAGGGTCTGAATACTTATGTAAATGTGTATTTTATTTTTAATACATTTGCTAAAATGTCTAAAAACATGTTTTTGCTTTGTCATTATGGGGTATTGTGTGTAGATTGAGTACATTATATATAATTGTTTAGTATATGGCTGTAACATAACAAAATGTGGAAAAAGTCAAGAGGTCTGAATACTTTCCGAATGCACTGTAAGTAGAGGATCCACAATAAAATGAATAGAATTTAACTTTCATAATGTTCTTATGTTCAAGTGTCCCAATGACATTAGCTACATTGTAAAAATGCAATTGAATAAAGCAAATTGAGACACCAATGCAATAGCAGCTTGGTCTGGGCTACTTTGATCATTGACTATAATGTCTCGCTACCTCTTCTGTTTCTGCTTATGTGCTGGTTACTGGTTAACGTGAACCACCGAAACACAACCGCACTGTTTCGGAGGAAACACTGCACCCGTTCGGTCACAAGAGTCGCTAGTGGGCGATGGGACATGAACATCTCTGCAAATTGAAAACAGAGTAAATGCACACGTGACGTGGCACAATTCTAATATCTAATAGGCCTAGTTTACACACATGGCTGATTAGTAATAATGCTTTCACTTTATAGAGCACTTCTATTGCAAGGCTGGTGATATTAAGTGTCAAGGCTATAGCCAAAGTTGTAGTAGCCTATGTCACAATTGCAATGGTAGGCACATTCCATAGCCTATGTAGGATGAATAATAATGTATTGAATTCATAGAGTGCTTTTCATGACAACAATGTGTTCTATGTTAAGTTGTAACCCCATGGGAGTCACAGATCATCTGACAAAAGAAGTAAGGAAGATCATTGAATGACTGTTTCTGAAAATGATTTGGTTTGGTGAAAGCGTAGGCTACAGTATTCAATAGCTGCTTGATTTTCTGATCACAGTCTCATTAATTTGGTCCACAGGGTATTTTAAATGGGGGATATGTGTCCCATCTATAGCACCAATGACGTTTGGAAAATCATCTGCGGGATGAATTAGGCTATTTATCATTTTTATCATGTCTAGGTTTATTAATTTGAGATTTGCAAAGTATTGCTGGCAGTGACCGCAACCTACTGTACCTGCAATTCTCTAAATCCTCTTTGATTATATGGACAGCTTGATGGCCAGGGAATGCAACAGAGACATTAAAACATATCTAGTAGTTAGCAGGTTTGTTTCAGAACATTCGTTGCTATGGTTTCTGATCAGGCTCTCTTTTTGGAGCCGGAAATTCTGAGGTTGCACAAATTCTTGTTTGACAGATCTCGCTAAATCACTCATCTGACTTTCTGGAATACTCCTCTGGTAACACGTCTGTACACGATCAAAACATAAAAACACAAAATGAGATACTAATAAACACTTTCGACACCATCTGGTGGCCGATCTTTGTAATTACCATACCGAATATGAGGTATAACGTGGTTCCAGGGACATCATTTTACATTTACATTTTAGTCATTCAGCAGACGCTCTTATCCAGAGCGACTTACAGTTAGTGAGTGCAAACATTTTCATACTGGCCCCCCGTGGGAAACGAACCCACAACCCTGGCGTTGTAAGCGCCATGCTCTACCAACTGAGCTACAGGGGACTACGTCACCGGCTAGAAAACCCAATACGGCTGCCATCGCAATGCCATATATGGACGTGTGTGTGTCGTCCGAAATCAGTAGCTCTCGATTTCTTTACGGTTTTGGAATTTAGCTTGCAACGCAGCTGTCAAGACATGATGAGATTAATGGATCCTCAGAAATGGGTACAGATAGATAGCTAAATTGATATCTACTTAGTAAGTTTGCAACAAAGAAATGTATATTTTTCAATTAAATAAAAAAGCAAATCTAAATGCGATGCTCACGAGTTATGTTCACATAATGATCAGCTAGCTAGCCAGCTTGGTTAGCTAATAGCTACATAGATGGGTAATGACATATATTTCAAGGTGTTAAACAGGGGAAATAGTGTTAGAATTGGTTTTATATATAGCTACCTCCTCCATTGTCCATACATTCACACAAACACACCAAAGGATTGGGATAACCTGGTTTGGTTATTTCTTGTTCTATGTACAGTGGGGGGGAAAAAAGTATTTAGTCAGCCACCAATTGTGCAAGTTCTCCCACTTAAAAAGATGAGAGAGGCCTGTAATTTTCATCATAGGTACACGTCAATTATGACAGACAAAATGAGAAGGAAAAAATCCTGAAAATCACATTGTAGGATTTTTTATGAATTTATTTGCAAATTATGGAGGAAAATAAGTATTTGGTCAATAACAAAAGTTTCTCAATACTTTGTTATATACCATTTGTTGGCAATGACACAGGTCAAACGTTTTCTGTAAGTCTTCACAAGGTTTTCACACACTGTTGCTGGTATTTTGGCCCATTCCTCCATGCAGATCTCCTCTAGAGCAGTGATGTTTTGGGGCTGTCGCTGGGCAACACGGACTTTCAACTCCCTCCAAAGATTTTCTATGGGGTTGAGATCTGGAGACTGGCTAGGCCACTCCAGGACCATGAAATGCTTCTTAAAAAGCCACTCCTTCGTTGCCCGGGCGGTGTGTTTGGGATCATTGTCATGTTGAAAGACCCAGCCACGTTTCATCTTCAATGCCCTTGCTGATGGAAGGAGGTTTTCACTCAAAATCTCACGATACATGGCCCCATTCATTCTTTCCTTTACACGGATCAGTCGTCCTGGTCCCTTTGCAGAAAAACAGCCCAAAGCATGATGTTTCCACCCCCATGCTTCACAGTAGGTATGGTGTTCTTTGGATGCAACTCAGCATTCTTTGTCCTCCAAACACGACGAGTTGAGTTTTTACCAAAAAGTTCTATTTTGGTTTCATCTGACCATATGACATTCTCCCAATCCTCTTCTGGATCATCCAAATGCACTCTAGCAAACTTCAGACGGGCCTGGACATGTACTGCCTTAAGCAGGGGGACACGTCTGGCACTGCAGGATTTGATTCCCTGGCGGTGTAGTGTGTTACTGATGGTAGGCTTTGTTACTTTGGTCCCAGCTCTCTGCAGGTCATTCACTAGGTCCCCCCGTGTGGTTCTGGGATTTTTGCTCACCGTTCTTGTGATCATTTTGACTCCACGGGTGAGATCTTGCGTGGAGCCCCAGATCGAGGGAGATTATCAGTGGTCTTGTATGTCTTCCATTTCCTAATAATTGCTCCCACAGTTGATTTCTTCAAACCAAGGTGCTTACCTATTGCAGATTCAGTCTTCCCAGCCTGGTGCAGGTCTACAATTTTGTTTCTGGTGTCCTTTGACAGCTCTTTGGTCTTGGCCATAGTGGAGTTTGGAGTGTGACTGTTTGAGGTTGTGGACAGGTGTCTTTTATACTGATAACAAGTACAAACAGGTGCCATTAATACAGGTAACGAGTGGAGGACAGAGGAGCCTCTTAAAGAAGAAGTTACAGGTCTGTGAGAGCCAGAAATCTTGCTTGTTTGTAGGTGACCAAATACTTATTTTCCACCATAATTTGCAAATAAATTCATTACAAATCCTACAATGTGATTTTCTGGATTTTTTTTTCTCAATTTGTCTGTCATAGTTGACGTGTACCTATGATGAAAATTATAGGCCTCTCATCTTTTTAAGTGGGAGAACTTGCACAATTGGTGGCTGACTAAATACTTTTTTCCCCCACTGTATGTGTAGTCGCTCACCTGTCTGTCATTGTAAAGTGTGTGGGTTCAGTAGAGAACAACATTGTCGAAAGTTCAGATATAAATTAATTGTCTAGATGTCATTTTATGTATCTCTTTGCCAAGTAGGTCTAGCAATTAATCATATCATCTCTATTCATTACATTAAGCCTACTACTATCTTCAACGTGTACATTGTCATCCACCTGAACTCAACCCTGTTGATGCTGTTCTCTCTTAGGGTGGGTTGCACCAACATGGATTAACTGTTAAACTGGGTTAAATCAAGGTTTATCTATTAATCTTGTTGCACCAAATTTTAAACCTTGGTTTTAAAATAATTACAATTACTTTTACATTTTAGTCATTTAGCAGACGCTCTTATCCAGAGCGACTTACAGGAGCAATTAGGGTTAAGTGCCTTGCTCAAGGGCACATTTACGTCATTTAGCAGACGCTCTTATCCAGAGCGACTTACAAATTGGTGCATTCACCCTATAGCCAGTGGGATAACCACTTTACAATTATTATTATTATTTTTTTTGGGGGGGGGGTAGAAGGATGACTTTATCCTATCCCAGGTGTTCCTTAAAGAGGTGGGGTTTCAAATGTCTCCGGAAGGTGGTGAGTGACTCCGCTGTCCTGGCGTCGTGAGGGAGCTTGTTCCACCATTGGGGTGCCAGAGCAGCGAACAGTTTTGACTGGGCTGAGCGGGAACTATGCTTCCGCAGAGGAAGGGGAGCCAGCAGGCCAGAGGTGGATGAACGCAATGCCCTCGTTTGGGTGTAGGGACTGATCAGAGCCTGAAGGTACGGAGGTGCCGTTCCCCTCACTGCTCCATAGGCAAGCACCATGGTCTTGTAACGGATGCGAGCTTCAACTGGAAGCCAGTGGAGTGTGCGGAGGAGGGGGGTGACGTGAGAGAACTTGGGAAGGTTGAACACCAGACGGGCTGCGGCATTCTGGATGAGTTGTAGGGGTTTAATGGCACAGGCAGGGAGCCCAGCCAACAGCGAGTTGCAGTAATCCAGACGGGAGATGACAAGTGCCTGGATTAGGACCTGTGCCGCTTCCTGTGTAAGGCAGGGTCGTACTCTCCGAATGTTGTAGAGCATGAACCTGCAGGATCGGGTCACCGCCTTGATGTTAGCGGAGAACGACAGGGTGTTGTCCAGGGTCACGCCAAGGCTCTTCGCACTCTGGGAGGAGGACACAACGGAGTTGTCAACCGTGATGGCGAGATCATGGAACGGGCAGTCCTTCCCCGGGAGGAAGAGCAGCTCCGTCTTGCCAGGGTTCAGCTTGAGGTGGTGATCCGTCATCCATACTGATATGTCGGCCAGACATGCAGAGATGCGATTCGCCACCTGGTTATCAGAAGGGGGAAAGGAGAAGATTAGTTGTGTATCGTCAGCGTAGCAATGATAGGAGAGGCCATGTGAGGATATGACAGAGCCAAGTGACTTGGTGTATAGGGAGAAAAGGAGAGGGCCTAGAACTGAGCCCTGGGGGACACCAGTGGTGAGAGCACGTGGTGCGGAGACAGCTTCTCGCCACGCCACTTGGTAGGAGCGACCGGTCAGGTAGGACGCAATCCAGGAGTGAGCCGCGCCGGAGATGCCCAGCTCGGAGAGGGTGGAGAGGAGGATCTGATGGTTCACAGTATCAAAGGCAGCAGACAGGTCTAGAAGGACAAGAGCAGAGGATAAATTAAATCCTTCCTCTAATCTAAATTTAGTTTTCACTTTAAACCTAGATTAATTTTAAACCTGTTGCTCAATAAAAAAAATAAAAAATGAACATAAATTTAGATTGGAGATTAATTCTAAACTGCTGCTTGAGGTGGTTTAACTGATAAAATGGCAGCATATCTACCAAAACGACAGAGTTCCTCAGAAAATAATTAGAGACAGGTTAAATCCTGTTGAATTTTATGATAATGATGAGTTTTCAAGGCACTACCGCTTCTCCAAGGACACTGTAATGTAATGCAACTGGAAAAAAAGGTTGGACTAACCATTAAGCATGGGAGTGATAGGAACGCGGCTGTACCCCCACTACTTCAGCTCCTGGTGACCCTACGGTTCTACGCAACTGAATGTTTCCAGATGGTGGATGGGGACATTTTTGGACTCCACAAGACAAGGTGAGAATGGAGAACTATTCCGTAATCGGAAAGGTTACTGCTCCTTCAACGTGCAGGCTGTCTGTGATGACAAAGGTCAGCTCACCAACATCGTAGCTAGACGGCCAGGATCCACCCATAACAGCAGAATCTTTGACAATAGTCGTCTGTGTGAAATGCTGGAAAGGGGGGCATATGAAGGCCACCTACTAGATGACAATGGATATGCCTGTCGTGGGTACCTTATGACTCCTCTTTTAAACCCCCAGACACCTGAAGAGAGAGAATACAACACCTCTCATATCCTGGCAAGAGGTCTCATAGAGAGTTTTTGGAGTGTGGAAAAAAATGATTCCCGTGCCTATAGGAGGGTCTCCGCACGAAGATGGACACTACACTGACAATCATTATTGCAGTGGCAGTTCTGTATAACTTTGGCAACAGACAAGGAGACGAGCAAGCTGAGGAGGACCTGCCTGAGGAGAATGCAGAAGATGGCCAGGTGCAACATGCTGCCAATGCAAATGGGAATGCTGTGAGGAGAACCTTGATTGAGAACCATTTTGCAGCCTGGTGTATATAATGTAACATTGGTAACATGTAAAAAGTAATATTATATTTTGATCGACACATACAATTCCTAATTAGGCTATCTGTATTCAAATGTATTATTTAGACTTTGTTATTCTCAATACCATACAGGGTGGAACTGGAAGCACCAGAACACAAGAGTGGGGACAAGACTGGAGGACAACAAATTGCTTGGAAAAGCATTGTTTTAATAAATAATTGTTTTTATAAATAATTGATTAAATAAATAACAAATATCAGCATTCTTTACACAGTGGGCATTTGTTTCCCTGAAGGAGTTTCTGTTTCTGAATTTGCAGTAGCTCTTTTTGTAAATTCAGGACCTCAATCTGCAGTAGATTTTTCTCTCTCTTCAGCTCCAAAACATGAATATGAGCTTGGTTCATGTCAGTTCTGGGGCGTTTACTTGGCCTGTCTGGTTTTTTTTGCTGCTGGTGCAAGATCCAGGCACTGCTGTTTCTCCACGGCACAGGGTGTCAGCTCAACGAAAGGAAAGGAAAGAAAATTAACTCATTATTAATAGGCTATTTTCGTGCAATAATTGAATTGGGGCTTATGATATGCCCAGCCTTGGTACGAATGATGATGTAATGCAATATGCTGTAATGGGCCTGATAACGGTAACTTTGTAGTGAAGTAGCATTAACGTTAGTTTTAACGTGCATTATAGTCATTGATATTTAGCAGTTATTTATGCTTACTAAATATTGGTGGGTCGAGTTGTCCGTCGTCATCATAGGGGTTAAGAAGAGGGGCAAACTGCTGGGGAATCATCTCGCATGTCTTCTGGGAGAGAGGATCAATTCCCTTGGAAGGAAGCCCCCCTCCGGTCTGAAATAGCCCCCGCCTCTCCACTGCCGCATCCTTTTTGACTTTCGCATTAAAATAATTCCAGCATGCCTTCATCCGATTTGGGTCCCTCTTCTCTTTAATCCGTTTCGATCCATTAAATCTGTCGCGTAAAATGGCCCAGGTGTCTTCCTTTTTTTTGACAGTCGTGTTGCCTGTCTTTTTATCCTCCAGTACGTTACTAAATTCCTCCATCAGCTCCGACAAGATATGTTTTTCATAAGCGGAGAAATTTGAACTTCTTTGACGTCCCGTGATCAGGTGGCTAGCGGACAAATAATAAATGGCTAAATAACGTTAAGTAATGACAATAATACATTCTATTTTATGCTATGCTAGCAACTTGGTTTATAAACTAGCTATCTACAGTAGCTAACGTTAGCTAACGAATTAGTTTTCTGTCTAGTACTGGTAAATAACGGATTTTATTTCAAATCAGCCAACCCATGAAAACCTTTCACGATGGAGTTGCAGTAGTTCTAACGTTACATTGTTATTCTTTTATCAAGGAACAGCAACTTTGTGGCCTCTTTTGTCAAGTAGGCTAGCTACTTCTTTCCACTCACGAAATACCTCATATATTGGTGTAACATGTCACTAATCATAGTTTAAAACCGTTAATCATAGATTTACTGATCCAGATTCAAAATTAAGTGGTGCAACACATCTCTGATTAATTATAAACCTAGATTTACAAAAACTAGATTAGCTCTAATCCTAGATAAATTGAAACCATGTTGGTGCAACCCTAATGTTCTTTATTGAAGCTGGGTTGCATTCATTAGAGCACACCATAACAATGTGTTACAACTTAAAAAACGAAACAAGCATTTGATATTGCACAAGTTCAGATAGTATTCTACCTCCTGTTTCACTGTGTTTTCTTACATGTTGTGCCTTCTGAACATTACCCTGTCCTTTATTGACTTAGTCTCTGTCCATCTCTGTAGTGGCATTACATTTAACATTTTAGTCATTTAGCAGACGCTCTTATCCAGAGCGACTTACAGTTAGTGAATACATTTTTTTTTTAATACTGGCCCCCCGTGGGAAACGAACCCACAACCCTGGCGTTGCAAACGCCATGCTCTATCAACTGAGCTACATCCCTGCCGGCCATTCCCTCCCCTACCCTGGACGACGCTGGGCCAATTGCCCATGAGTCTCCCGGTCGCGGCCGGCTGCGACAGAGCCTGGATTCGAACCAGGATCTCTAGTGGCACAGTTAGCACTGCGATGCAGTGCCTTAGACCACTGCGCCACTCAGGAGTATGTTGTTGTTGTTGTTGTTGTTGTATTGACGATGTCTTCTGTTCTTATTTCCCCCAGTGGCCTGGCTGCGTTGGGCCGGGCTGTAAAGTGGTGGTGGTGGTCTCTGGGTGCTGGTCTAGGCGGAGAGGCAGAGGCAGGAGGAGTGGCTGTGGGTGTTGAGGTGGTGCCGGTGCCAGGGGGCCAGAGAGGGCCGAGTAGATAACAGCTGAGCCGCTCTGTTCTGCCCTCCCTAGAGACACTGGTAGGACAGGGATGCAGCCTCAGCAATGACAATGGACCCAGAAACTGGTGAGGAATGGATGAGGGTAGACGACACACAGAAAGAAACACACACACACACGGACGTGGTACTGTACTACAACAAGCAGGCTTAACATCCCCTGCCCAAACACACACACATACTTTACTTATTTACACAAGGCTCCATGGGAAATTAAATGTGTAGGGCTATTTGATCCGACATTTTGGCTGAATAGAGCAAATATTTCAAGTCTGAATAAGAATAGAATTTGGATAAAGCCAAAGAAAAACAACAGAAAAAAATAGAATTCACAGAATAAGACTAGTACGATATGTCAGGAACTCTGACCAGACACCTTTATACCTATGCTGTCTATGTTGCAAGATTGATGTAATTCTCTCCACGTCAGCAAGTTCCCCACATATAATTTGAGGGTGCATGTTAATTTTTCCAGCATTTTGTTACACATTTCATTGCTGCTGCTAAAAGATAATCTATCAATTGAAGTGGAGAGGATTGGAGTGTAAACACAGGAACAATACCTAGAAGGAGATGACATGGGTCTGGTTGAATAATAATACCTGTGATGTCCTGTATAACATGGAGAATTTCAGACCAGAAGACTGGAATTTCGGACATTGCTTAAAGCACCTATTTGTCCACACTGCCTCCAACATGTAGCAAATATTCCTTTTTTCATTTTATTACGTTTATCAGGGCTCATAAAAAAAACGTTCCATGTAGTGGCTTTACATAGTGTTTTCCATATACTCCACCAACTCTCTCCTCTGATATCTGCACCTGTAATTCAACCTGCCATGAGTTACTAAGATTATCTAAAGATAATATTAGCATGTTAAGGATATTGTGATAAAAATTTGAAACGGTTCCAATGTTTTCCCCTTGATAAAGTAATTCAATCATCTCTTCAATAGGAGTAATCGGCTCAGTCATTTCTTTGTAACAATCCCTTTTTAACAATGAATTGCCTTACTTGAAGGTACCTATAAAAATTTGTTTGGGATATAATGAATTCCTCCTGGATTTCTTGAAATTATATATATTTTTTAATGTAACCTTTGAATAGTTGAGAGAGTCTACAAAGCCCTCTCTCTTCCCATTCCTCTAATCCGTAGGACATACATTTAGTAGCAGGAAGAAAGGCTGGGTTGTGAATATAGGCCAGTGTCTATAAATGTCATTACTCATGTTAATATTGGCGTTGAACCTCCCTCCATGTCTTCAATGTAAGAGTAATAATTGGGTTTTGTTTAATCCTGTCAATAGAAATAGGGTCTGCTATAAAGAGAAGACAATGTAAAGGCATATCACAATATTGACTCTCAATTTCAAGCCATGACAAATCCTTCGGTTGTTGAATCCATGATGCTATGTGATTAAGTTGCGCCACCCAGTAATATGATTTAAGGTTAGGGAGGCCAAGCCCACCCAATTCTTTGAACAGCTGTAGTTTTTAATAACCATACGAGCCTCTTATTTTGCCATAACATGTGCTATCTGCTTAAGTGAC